TAATTTATATGAAGCTGGCAAGAATTGTCAATATGTTGTAAAAATTAATGAATATCTCGAAGCATCTCTGTGTGTTTGAACAATGAAGCATGTGTTGTACTTGTAATTAAAACATGAGTTCTTGAAGAAAGAAAAAATTATATTAGTAACAATAATACTAGTTATATTTATAGAAACTTGTCATATGTCAGGCACTGTGTTATATGCTTTACTTGAATAATTTATTTACACACTGTACATAAAAAATACTATTGCTATTTTTCATCAGTTTGATAATGAGAAAACTAAAACCAGCAGGTGAGCCAAAATTCATCCCAAACATTCTGACTCCACAGTCTTAGCTATCAACCTCTGACTTAACTCAACTGCTGCATGATATATCCTATATAATAAAAGCATAATATAAAATTGAGCGAACAGTGGAACAACCAGTCAGCAGGGTGCAGGGCTGGTGAGCAGGCAGCACAAAGCCAGCCAAGGTACATGCCAATGGGCAGGGAAAGAGGACAGCGATTGGGGGCGGCAGCGACCAGCGGTGGCGGAGGGGGTATCAGGGGGCAGGGCCAGCTACTCACCAGCCTGCGCAGTCCCCTGATTGGCCTGCCCTGGTCGCCCCCTGTAGAGGCCATCAGTTGGACATCCCCTGAGGACTCCAGGACTGTGAGAGAGTGCAGGCTGGGCTGAGGGACCCCCCCACCCAAGTGCATGAATTTTCGTGCACCAGGCCTCTATTAGATATATCAATTTAGGTACAATGTAAGTTTAAAATTAATTAAAAATAATATAGCTACCTAAAAGAGCTAATATACTAGTAAAATACTCTTACTGAAAACAGGGGTAGAAGACTGGGGTTAATCCAGTTGGGGTTGATCTCAGACTTCTCTGTGTGAGTGGGAACAAACTTGAACTGCTCAAGTTCTCAGGGTCTCATTTTACAAAATGGAGCCTATGGAGGCTGCTTAGGTTCTTAAACACAGCTTTCTAGATGACACTGCAGATTACAGGTAAGATTGTACCTCACCTTGGCCAATACCATGCCCAGGAACCAATCTGACACTTGTGTATGTCGCCACTTGTGAGTGTCAGGGTTCCATTTAGAAAAGTCAAATTCTTTATACACCTGTCCTTCCTGGTTAGCACAGGAAATGAAAGCTGCTACCCTCCTCAGCTCTGTGGTCTCTTTCTTGTGTTCTTGTGTCTACCCTGCTTTGCATGTCCTCTTCCTTATCCCCTCCTCCCATGGTGAGAACTTCCACTGCCCTGCCCTCCCCAGCACCATTTCTACAGAGCCCTAGGGCCCATATTCTATAGTAGCCAAACAGCAACTCAGATTCTCTCTCCTCCATCTCTCAACCCAAATCCATTTCTAACTGGTGGGATTTCAGGCTGGGTCACAAGGAGGAAGAATGATCATTTTCTGATAATCTGGAATCAGCTTCTCTAAAGTCAACAGGTTTTTAATAGTTTTTCCTCATTTCCCAGGATTGAAAGCACAGGTGCTATGGGAAAACTGTGGGGTTTTTACACTGTTAACTTACAGTACCCTTGTTATATAACTGGGTTGCACAGGAGGCACATTTATTTCCCCTTCATCAGTGAAATGCTAGGATCCAGACAGATGCCGAGAAAGTTAGGGGAGGTGGAGCTACTGACTAGAAAGGTAGTGAGGCTTCTTAATGGGACCTCTGACTGTGAGCCCCATAGGGTAGGTCTTCAGTACCCAGGCAACAACTAGAACCTGAGATTTAAGAATCTCTGTTGGGCAAGAACAAAGAATACATAAAAGAAACCATTTTATTCAAAGCTAAAATAAGTTTTTAAAAATTATTTTAATATTTTATTTTAGTAAATCACAATTGTTTTAACAATGAAAAAATACAGAATTCTATAGAGTCAAAAAGTATAAATCACTCTTCACAACCCCATCACCAATACCATTAGCTTCATAAAGTTTATTACTATTTACAGTTTATTGTCTATCCT